TAAACACTTCTAGGGATGGAGATTCCACCACCTCCCTAGGGAACCCATTTCAGTGCTTCACCACCCTCCTAGGGAAATAGTTTTTCCTAATATCCAGCCTAGACCTCCCCCACTGTAACATTGCTCCTTGTTCTGCCATCCATCACTACTGAGAATAGCCTCTTTCCATCCTCTTTGGAACCTCCCTTCAGGAAGTTGAATGTTGCTATCAAATTCCCCCTCACTCTTCTCTTCTGCAGACTAAATAAGCCCAAATCCCTCAGCCTCTCCTCGTAGGTCATGTGCTCCAGCCCCCTAATCATTTTGGTTGCTCTCCTCTAGGCCCTCTCCCATGCGTCCACATCCTTTCAATAGTGGTGGTGGGCGGGAGGGGGGGGCAGAACTGGACACAATAATTGTCTTGATTACAACACTCCTGTTAAAGCATCCCAGAATGATGTTGCTTTTGTTTTTGCAACAGTGTCACACTATTGACTCATATTTAGCTTGTGGTCCACTATGACCCCTAGATTCCTTTCCACAGTATTCCTTTCTAGGCAGTCATTTCCCATTTGGTATCTGGGCAAATGTTTGTTCCTTCCCAAGTGGAGTATTTTGCATTTGTCCTTTACTGAATTTCATTTTTCCCCTGAAGTCCATTTCTGTGGAGTTGTGGGGTCTAGGTACTTCCTGGAGAATCAGTGGTGCATCTTGGACCAGACACAGCAACAAAAGGGGCAGAGTTGCTTGGCAGTTATACATCTTTACTGACAAGAGACAGGAAAAGCCCTCTCCCCCTACCTTCCCCATTTTCTTTTTCATTAGCCTCCTGACACTAATCTCGGAATAACTTTTAAAGTAAACAACACATAAATATTGCACAAGTTTCCAATAGCAAAAGCTGATAAAGTTTATTGCATGTATAAAATAAATAGAAGGAAATGCTTTCAGTTTCCTATTTATAGGTCTCTGGGGAGATCTCGGGTATGATTTATCACTTCAATTTTGGCAATGCTATTCTCTCTCGCACATGCATGCATGTGCACACAGACATGCACTTCTGTCTCTCTTTTTTTTTTTACTCTCCGATATCCTTACTTCCTCTTTTTCTCCTGTACGTTCACCCACACATTCAGTGGTTTGCACATACGCATTTGTTCCCTCCTTCCTTTTCTAGCATATTAGAGGCTTTGGGCCCAATCTTACAAGATGCTGAGTGATATCAACATCTTGAAGTCAGTGGGCATTGGAGGCTCTCAACATCTAGGAGGAGGCACTTTGTAACTTATAATGCAAATGAAAAAGACTATGATGAAGTAGACAAAATGCAAAAGAAGCAGCAAAGCCAAGAACTGAGCAGGGCATGGAGAATGAATTCCATTCTTGCTCCCACAAGATGGTCTCTACAAGTCAATGGTGACATAGAGTCTGAAATCAAGATTGGATTTTTTGTAAAGATATGCTCTGGTTCCCAAGGATATTTTGGAAGTTAAAGGCCTGTGCTATAGAGGGGATTAGACAAGATGATCACAACGGTCCTTCTTACCTTGAAATCTGTGAATGTATAGTAGTGGTAAGCAGTCGGTGCGTGTGGGAAATTTGTACTGTGGATGCCAGCGATGGTCCTGCTCTGTGGACAGAGGCCTCCGGGGCTGTTATTCTCGCACCTTTCACAAGCAATAAATTAATCTTTAAGAAAATAAAAAGGTGACATAAAGAAACTTGAGATATTTGGGAAAAGCCCAATGAGTAGCAGAATTGGAAATGACAGTTAGTTATTATTCAGGGAAACTTTGTGGTATTCATATTGCTGCACCAATAGCTTCAGCCTCAACTTAGTTTCCATAGGAAAGGCTCTTGACTCTACAGTAATTAGAGCTGAGACACCACAGCGGCTATCTGATCTCTGGCTGACCCATAGGGTTTGGTCCAAGCATTGCCTACAGAACCAAGATGACTGAGAGAAGAAAGGAATAATATAAACGAGGAGGAAAAACAGGAGGAAGCAGGGAGCCAGCATCACCACTTCCCTAAGGATGGGCAATTTTGGATGAGGTTTTTGTCAGTGAAGCAGCCAGGAGGTGCAAAAGTGCAACATGTGATTCTTGGAGAAAGTTAAAAGAAAGGTGAGGCTGAGACTCAGCACTTGTTCTTTGTTTCAGGTTTGGCAGAATTGGGAACACGATGGAGACAGCACACACTAGGCTTGCCAACTTTCGAATTACACAAAACCAACCCCTCCCCTTCCCCTTTCCTGAGGCTGCTGCCCTGCTCCTTCTTCAAAGTCCTGCTGCTGCTCGCTCTATCCACTCTCCCTCCATTGATCACCATCTCCTCCCCCCCATCCAATTTCACCAGTTAGGGCAGTGGGATGAGGGCTCCAGCTGGGGGGTGCAGGCTCTGGGTGGGGCCAGGGATGAGGGGTCTGAAGTTCAGGAGGATCCTCCAGGATGGAGCAGAGGGTGGCTGTGCAGGGTGTGGGAGGGAGGGAGCGCTCTAACTGGGGCCAAAAATGAAGGGATTGGGATGCAAGAGGGGGCTCTTGGCTGAGGCAGGGCTCTGGGGGGCATGCAGGGGGATAAGGGCTCTAGCAGTGGGTGCAGGCTCAGGGGTATGGCTGGGGATGAGGGATTTGGGGTGCAAGAAGGAGCTAAATACTGAGGAAGGATGTTGGGTGTGGTCTTCAGGAGGGAGTATGGATTCTGGAGAAGACTCCAGGCTGGGGGTAGGACTGTGGGAAGGAGCATGGGGATTCTTGCATACAGTCTATATGGACACACTCAGGAAGGTTGAAACAAACAAAAGGAAGTTTTTCTTCACTCAGCGCACAGTCAACCTGTGAAACTCCTTGGCAGAGGATGTTGTGAAGACTAGGACTTTAACAGGGTTTGAAAAAGAGCTAGATAGATTCATGGAGGTTAGGTCCATCAATGGCTATTAACCAGGATGGGTAGGAATGGTGTCGCTAGCTTCAGTTTGTTGGTAAATGGGTGACAGGAGAGGGATCATATGCAGATTACCTGTTGTGTTCCCTCCCTCTGGGGCATCTGGTATTGTCCACTGTTGGCAGACAAGATACTGGGCTTAGATGGACCTTTGGTCTGACCCAGTATGGCCTTTCTTATGAAGCCATTAAAAAAAAAAAAACATCTGGCTATGGCCCAGTGGCTGCCCTGTTTGCCCCACCCTGCTGATCAATGCTTGCCCCTCAAATTCTGCAAGCCCCTTTTACAGTGCATTTCTCATAAGGCAGCAAGGATGTGAAAGGGCTTAATGAGGCAGCTGCCCCATACAGCGAGAGCTCTGGGGGTGTGACAGTTTCAGAGGATGAATTGCAGGGCAGGTGCTGTAAAGTCAAGCAACAAATAAATACAGCCACAAAACAGATGCGCCTCTGAGCTAATGACACTGAGAGAAGAAAGTAAAAAGAGCCTAGGAGATGAGGAGGGGAAGCATGACAGGCAGCCACCAAAAGGCAGGTGAATTTATCTGTCTGCCAGACAGCAATGGGGGAAGAAAACATGGCAAAAGCAAAGCCTGGAAAATGTTAAACATAAATGTCAGTCACAAGTGAATACTGTGGAGCACCATGAACAACCTCAAAAGAGCAAATCTGATGTGTCAAAGCTCCTTCGTTTTCAGAGGTCAGTCCTCTTTCCCCTGGAGCTGAACATTGACCTGCAGGGAGTTCTCCACATCCAGAATATGACATCCTCCCCACTCTTCCCTTGAATTTCATCTGTCCCCAGGACCGGGGGCGGATATATGGCAGGGCGAACGGGGCGGCTGCCCCGGGCCCCGCGCTTCAGAAAGCCCCGCGCATGCGCCGTGGCAAAGGGGGGGCCCCGCGGAAGTATGCTGCCCGGGGCCCCGCAAAACCGTCATCTGCCCCTGCCCAGGACCACCCATGCAACATGATAAGGATGCTTCTGGCTGAGAGTAGCTGCCCTTAGTGCTGAGCTGCCAATCACCATCATGGCTTCATCTACCCAGCCAAGCCAATCACTGTGGAATGATGCACAGAAATACTTCCTCTCTCCAAAACCTGCCTGCCAAATTGGGAACAAGAGCCCAGGCGTGACTCTGGGTCGTGGACCCTTCACCCAGTGTCACACTGAAGGATGCATTGCTGTAGACTCAGCAATATTTTTCCCTAAGAGCGGATGAAAGAGCACTGAAGACTGAAGTCCTCTGTCTAGTAGGTACAATATTGACAGTAGCAGGGTACTGTTGCTCAGAGTCCCATTAATATGCCACAACACTCAACTGGAGAACTTCATCTGAGGCAGGTGAGTTCAGATTCTAAGGCTTATTCAGTCCTGAGTCTCTCCATTGTAACTGCCAACAAAAACACAAGTCATCCCAAAAGCGCTGTGGTTTTTGTGGTATGGGCCTCTCTCCACTAAGAAGTGCACTGAAACCTCCAACTCATTTCACATATTCCATTAAAGAGCCATCAGATGTTAATAACTTTCAATAAGAGCTAACCAGAGTTGATTTTTTGGCCCAGCCACCTGGAAGTGAAACACTGCTTCTCCCACCACCAACCTCATGGCATAAGTAAATTCTAGCATTTGGAACCAATGCTGCGGTATATTTTTATTACAATGATAGCTTCCTTTAGATATTTATGTTCAATTTGAAGAATTCATATGTTCTATGCTGTATATTCTATGTTGTATTTTCTTTCTTGAGTGTGTGTGTGTGTGTGTGTGTGTGTGTATGTAAAAATATTCATGTTTATATACCACGTGTAGTATACTATATTCTCTCTCTCTCTCTCTCTCTCTCAGTCTCCACATCCTTTTATTTTTATCCACATGAAATTATTGCTTTAAATTGCAAGGGATAGTTTCTTTTCATTTTTGTTTAGTCACAAAATGTATAATCCTATTGATTTCTTTATATTTGTTTAAAATGTGCTGATCCACCTAACCAGGTGTGCATACAACATTAACGATGTCCACCGTTAAGTCACCTGCCCTGACCCTCTTCATGTTTATGTTCCACTTGTCTCTCAGATTTTTCCTGAGAGTGGACTTCAGTGCAAACTCTAAAATCAGCATTTCTGGAACCAAATCCAACAGCCTTGAAGGTAATTGACATCCTTCTATGAGTAAAGATAACTCATGTGAGTGAGGACTTGCATAACCTAGCCCTTTCTGAATTTGGCATTTGTAGCCTGGCTGAAAGCCTGACACAACACTTACTGACGTCAATGGAAAGCTCCCCAGTGACTGCTGCTAGCAACAGAAGTGTGGTGAGTACTCAGTGATTACTGGCTTCACTTTGATTTGAGGTACTGAGTAGCTGGCAGGATGAGACCCTCGATACTGAAAGCCTTGTGGTAGAGTGGTTTGTAATAATTGATCACAAAGGGCCTAGCTCCAAACCCATTGGAGTGAGTGTGGACAGGCTCCTATTAACTTCAGTGGGCTTTGAATCAAGCCCTAGAATTGGACAAAATAGATCTTAACTGCAGCTTGGATGGTTATGGATGGGAAGTAGTTATATTCCCCAGTGTGATTTTTGGACTCATAACCAGAGTCACCTCTCAGGATCCCACTAACTCTAGGAAGAATGGCATGTAGTGCATGAGAGAGACAGACAGAAAGCTGTTGGTTTAATATGAATGTATAAAACAGGACATGCACAGTAAATTTCACTGCCACAGAATGATTAATCACAGAGGGAGAGAGATACTGAAGAAAAGGTTATATTTTTCCTCATGCACAGAAAGCTGACTTGGGGAAAAAAAACTAAATTAGGTGCAAGAGTAGAACGTGAAAATGAGCTAAATGAAGGGAAAGCAGCATGGGAAAAGTCCATGGGAAATTGTTTTAGAAGAGCTGGAGCTGGAAGACAAAATGAATTTTTGCTCTTTAGCAAAATGAAAAATAATTCCTTCTCCAACCTCTATCTCTCTTCCCCCTCATCTTCTTTCCTACCCCTCAACCCCTGGCCTGCTGTCCTTTGACAGACACTCTCTTTCCTCCCTCTCATCTTTGCTTTAAGCAGTTCCCTAGCAACAGCTGTTGCAATTAAAAAGGAAATTATAGGCATTTTGCAGGTGCAGTGATGGGCAGGAGGTTGGGTGAGTGACATCTGGGGGTGCTGCTGACACTGGGTAGGAGGGGAATGGCATTGCTCTTGTGGAACAGTTTCCAGGTTGATAGCCCCAGATGATACCCATGCCTCAGCTTTGTCCCTCCTCTGCCAAAATGCTACTCACTCTTCTTCAGTGGAATGCTCACTTTACTCTCTGGGACAAATCTAGCTCATCTTAGTTAACACCCCGAAACTGTACTTCAGAGTGTGACTTAGGATCAATAGATGGATATGGAGTGGCAGTAGTGGCTCTGTTGCTATGGTTGAGGCTAACATCCCCTTATGATAATAAACACTATTTTCAACCCCCTTTTAGCCTCCCCTGTCCTGAAATTTCCTATGCCACACTACACCATCTCCCTATTTTTGACATCACTCACCCAGCCTTAATTTTGCTCCTTAAAACATGTTAAATTAAACATAAAGGGTAAGTTCCAAAAGTACTTCAGTGCCTAAAGTTCCCAAATCCCATTAACTTTAATAAAATGCAGGTTCATGAGCACCTTAGTCTTTTTTTAAAAGTTAGAACTTAGGAGCTTAGATCATTTAAGGTCTTCTGAAAATTTTATCTAGAATGAACTACTAGGCAATTATAAAATCTCATTTCCTGTTCAAGAGATCCAGTTGCAATTTACAGTAACACTAACCTATATTATTGCATTCCTCACTACAAAAATGAACAAAAAACCCAGCTATGTTGACACAATATTATTATTATAGTTAAAATAAACACTTTTAAGGTCTTACGTAAACCTTCAACATTGTATAATCTACACTCTTCATAACACCCAACAGATCAATCATTTCAGTTCAAAACATTATTCTTTTAGTCATGAAAAACATTCTTCAGCTTCTCCAACACATCACCCTATGAGGAAAATTTATAAAATGTAATATAGTGTGCCCTGGGACTAGAGTACTCTTGAAATCTTTATTGCACATTTAATAAATAATATATAAAATCAATAGTTTGCTTCCAACAGCATAGTTCTATTACAGAACAAAGGAAGAGGACAAAGTAAAGCTGGCTGGTTATTCTATGTCACTTGTGGTGATGAGATTATATAGCAATGAAGAAGTGGCGGAATCTCTTCCCTGTTAGAGTCCAAAGACCTGGAAACAGAGTTGAATGAGGAGTGTATAATAGTTTATGACGAGGGTTAAGTATCCTGGGGTCAGTGAGTCTGATTCCACTGAAACAAACTTTCAGTCTTCACTCTCTTTAATGTTGTACAGTATTTCAGTTTGGAATATAGTCCTGTTTCTACCTCTGCACTTGTACATTGCTTAGCCCAGTGGGACTTAGGACTCGTATACACTACGGCTGTGTCTAGACTGGCCAGTTTTTCCGGAAAATCAGCTGCTTTTCCGGAAAAACTTGCCAGCTGTCTACACTGGCCGCTTGCATTTCCACAAAAGCACTGACTTCCTACTGTAAGAAATCAGTGCTTTTTGCGGAAATACTATGCTGCTCCCGTTCGGGCAAAAGTCCCTTTTGTGCAAAACTTTTGTGCAAAAGGGCCAGTGTAGACAGCTGAGATTTGTTTTCTGCAAAAAAGCCCCGATTGCAAAAATGGGGATCGGGGCTTTTTGGCGGAAAAGCGCGTCTAGATTGGCACGGATGCTTTTCTGCAAAAAGTACTTTTGCCGAAAAGCGTCCGTGCCAATCTAGACGCTCTGTTCCGAAAATGCTTTTAACGGAAAACTTTTCCGGAAAATCATGCCAGTCTAGACGTAGCCTACCAGTGTGAAAATGCACTCAACTTTATGATCACTATTATTTCTCTCCTTTCTTTCCTCTTCCTTCTCTCTTTCTTTCTCTTTGTTTCTCATCTTTCTTTGTGTCTTTCCTTATTTCTTGCATCTGCACTTCCTTCCTTGCAGCAGTTTCCAGTTTCCAACCCAACATCACTTCTACATCTTTCTTCATTCCATCCATTAAATGTCCAGCAATGAATTAGTTAATTGTGCCATTTCAAGTGCAATCCTTAAGCTTGCAGTGGAGTCATTGGGGGACATAAGGAAATCACGCATCTTACAGATGTGTGAGATCACCATCTTCTACAGGTTTTAAAAGCTTCAGGGGGGGTAGCCGAGTTAGTCTGTAACTGGAAAAACGTAAGGTGCTGCTAGACTATTTTTTGTTTTTTAAGACTAACAAAACATGTAGATCAGTTGTCCCCAACCTTTAGAGGCTGCCCGGCACCAGGGGGCGTGGCCGTTTGCCTGCTGGGCACCAGAGGGCGGGGACACATGCATGCCGTGGGCACCTTGACATCAGCACCCCTCTTCTCCTTCCTCTATCCTGCACAGCAAGCAAGAGGCTACCGAGGGTTGGGGGAGGCAGCTCTCAGGCAAAGGGCAGGAGTAGTGCAGCAGTGGAGGAGGGGCAGCTAAAGTGCTGGCACTTGATAGCCTCTTGGCCAAACCAGTCAAGATCACCTGTCAGAGGCTCCAAGATCTATCAATAGATCCTGATCTACTGGTTGGTGACCACTGATATAAATTAACTAACACTAGGCCGGCATCGCATATGTGCTGCGCACCCGGGGCAAGGGCCGCCCATGTGCCATGTGCCCTGTGCCGGCACCACGCATGTGCCACACGCTGGGGGCGGGGCCAGCCCAGATGTTTCAGTGGGCGCACATAAATGCCCCAGCAGGCGCCATGGTGCCCGTGGGCACTGCGTTGGGGACCACTGATGTGGATGGTATCATGAGCTTTTGTGGGCACAACCCACTTCTATATGTTTTGTTAGACTCCAAGGTGCTGCAAGACTATTTGTTTGGGCTTTTAAAAAGTTTTTCCCGTTACAGACTAACTCGTCTACTCCTCTGAAGCTTTTACACATCTCAAGAGTCATTGTTTCAAGATGAAGTAGCTGCAGACTCAAGCAGATTATCAGTTCACATTTGATAGGTTTTGCTCCAAACCATGGTGGCTGACATTTCTTAAAAAAAAATTAAATTTTACATTCTGCAGAAGCTGAATATGTCATATGGGCCACATAAATACACCAAGGGGGCAGCTGTTTACACCACTCTTTGAGAGCATTTTGATGATGATAAAAAAATAATAACAATCACACAGGATGCTCCCAAGAGGACAGTTTGATGTTGGATTAGGACACAAGAAATGGAGTTTATCATTTGAATGCTAGAAAACAGCAGACACTTTCACAATTAATGGAGGTAAATTCTATTATTTTTCCATAAATGTGGTACTGTCTCAGGTTCCCAGAGTAACCTATGCTTTACTCAACTATATATTGTGAAAAAAGATAAGTATCCCATTATATGTCTCACAGACCATCTTAAATTATTGGTCTGGAAGTTCTTCTCTAGCATACTCTGACTTCAGTGGAGTTACACTAAGGGTGAATTTGGCTCAGTATATAATAAACCAGAGTGGTTATATATACCATCTATAGACATGATCAATAGTAAGAATGAATGATATATAAGGAATCAAATTCCCCATTACTTTATACCTCTTTTAATACTGCTGAAATCACTGAAGCTGCTTGTGTGAGAGTGAGAGCGAGAACAAGAGAACGAACACACTGCATTTGGCCCAAGAGTTATTGTCATGGTGATAAGTCTACAAGAGATTAAGACACACATACTATTTCTGCATTTTGCAAAATGTTATCAACTCCCGGTAATGCTAATAGAGAAGATAACGTCTTATGGTCTATAATAAAATATACTCGCACTGAACTCAGTACCAGAAATGTTTGTTCCTAATACAGCTCAACCATATGTGTAAAGCTATCAGACTCACTACATCCTCTCCAAGATAAGCCTGTAAGGAGGGAACACATTTTAAATTTGTCATATAGAGTAGTTTAAGTTCATGCTCATGACCACATCAGAGAGTGTACTGTAAACACAGAGGCTACATCTACACTGGCCCCTTTTTCGGAAGGGGCATGCTAATTTTGAAAGTGGGAATAGGGAAATCCGCGGGGGATTTAAATATCCCTCGCGGATTTAAATAAACATGTCCGCCGCTTTTTTTCCGGCTTGGGGAAAAGCTGGAAAAAAAGCGTCTAGACTGGCCCGATCCTCCAGAATAAAGCCCTATTCCGGAGGATCTCTTATTCCTACTTCAAAGTAGGAAAGGGGCCAGTGTAGACGTAGCCAGAGTGAA